GCTTTTTCAAAATAGAAACTTCCATTAGTTTTGCAACAATCCATCCTATTCAACGTAACACTCTTTTTATTCATCGTTAAGGCGTATATAATGCGGTTCCTCTGCGTTCTCGTTTCTTTCGTTATTTTCAACAGCACCACACGAGGGGAGAATAGGAATGAACACACGAAATTGAGAAAAATATCGCGAGAAATCTAAACGCTAGTATTATGACCTTTCCTCGGTTTCTTTGCGAATACAACCACACTCTATTTTCTTTTCCTTCTGTCCGTTCTTTCTTTTATATATTTTGCATTTAGATCACCCGCATTCACGCCACACCATCACACACAAACGATATAATACATATAGGCGAAATATATACGCAGGTTCCTCGCCTACAAAAAAGGAGAGATCACTGTATTTCTTTTTTTCTTTCTTTCTTTCTCCTTTATTATATTCGCGCGCGTATAACGTATTTACAAGGAACAAAAGAAGCTACGAGTATATACGCATAGTACGCGATTATACGTAAATCTTTTTATTTGCGCGCGAGGGCGCGCGTGTGTGTATAATTGTGTTATAGGTACTAACATACAACGTCTTGCTCGATAGTTATCTTTTGCTCTCGACGCGACGGCACGAATTCAATCCGAGGTACATAAATAGAAAAGAATTTCGTTTTCGTCGCTTTTTCTATGTATATGTATATATAGAATTGTATACATATACATATATAGAACTTTTACTTGCACAGTATAATTTTAGATATCTCTTATATAATATTATATGTATATGAGATATACGCGGTACGTACATCATACGATACAATATTATATAAATTGGCTATGATACAGTATAACGTAAATCATATGCGAAATTGTACTGTACCTATTGAAAATGAAGAAAGTTCGTTGTATAGTGGCCATACGAAACAGAAGACATAATAATAGACTGGTGTTTCAGTTTCTTCTGATCAAACTTTGTCAGTATGTTCTTTGAGTATAAGTAAGGAGAAAATGTTATGTAAACATAGGTCGTTTGAAGCTTAGTTAAAAAGTTGTAACAAAAATACGAAATACGAAAGGAACGGTAACGAACTTGCTGTTACTACGATACAAGCCAAGAACATCGTCACCTCAAATCGTAAACACAGCATGCGTAAACAGACTAGATGTCGCTGATCTATTCGTATTTTGTATCATAACCGCACATACCGTTCCCTTCGTATTTCGTATTATCGCTATAACTTTTTAATAAAGTACCAGACGAACTACGTTTATATAATATTTTTTCCTTACTTATACCCATAGAACGTATTGACAAAGTTTGATCGGAAAGAACTGGGATGCCATGTTTAATAAACGAAAAGCTATTTGAGTAAATATACTTTGTACACTACAATGTTAAAGTTTAACAAAAATTGTAATTGTAAAATATCTCTTTGGTATCAAAGGAACTAGAATTCTTTATCTAGCCGGTAAAACTTATCAAAACGTATGCTTTGACAAATTTTCTTATTCGGTATAATACAAAACAAGGTAGCTACAATTTTACATTCTTAAACATTACTACGTTTACTTATGCCTGCTATTACCATTATTGTTTACATCTAATTTGGGGAACAACATTCCAACACTTCACCACGACAGATTCTATCGTTGTGATTCTTAAACAATTGCAACATATGTACACGTTATTATAGAAAAGTTTACAGGAATCAAATGGTTCTAAGAGACCAAACACAGACTTCTAACTTTTCTCGGATATTTCATCTAAACAAAACAATCTTATCGACGTGTAAAGCACGATGCAACGATTCTCGCGTGAACATCCCTCCTCCTCCCTCATCACTACATCGATAACCATCGGCAAGTGACACGTTGTCATATTATGAATCGTTACGTTAAAATTGTTATTAATAGAGGCCATCTCACAGAATCAAAATTGTTAATACGAATATACGTACTTGTATATAACCGTATTAACATCAGAAAATAAAATTTGTATCACTACTACGAACAAAACCGAAAATCTACGATCACCTACGTCATAAAGATATGCTTAAAGTACTTACATAACCTAAATGTCTACGCTGTTTCGAATTAGGTGCACACACTTATCGGGGTCCGATATAGATACGATCTACGTTACGAATCTCACGTAAATGAGAAAAAAGGGTAAAAACGTGAATGTTCAGGCACTGTAAACTCAAAGCACTTACAACGATTACGAAGGATGCGACGAACGCACAGCGTCAATGGCTCAACGCAGTCCGTCAACCTACTACGCACTACTACCAGCGCAAGCCATTTCGGGCCCTCAAGCTGCTCGTTCATTGGGACCTTACATTCGACGGAAAATTTTTCAAATCGCGCGGGTCGTCAATGCTGTTTACACGTCCGCTTTTTTTCGTAACGCCTCTGAGTATTGACGAATAGGTACGAACATGCGGTTAGACACGAACGTAAAATTTAACGAGTCTCTTAAATATGCGTTTCTGCGATATTTTTTCGACGAAACACATTGAACGTAAGATACAGTTGCGATCGTTCATTTCCGATGTCTAAGTTTGAAATTTTACGAGAGATGGTATATTTTTCATTTTTAATACCTAAAATTGAGGGTTATGTGATAAGGGAAGCAAATTAATTTCGCCTTGTAATGAACGTAGAAATTATTTTTCATATAGCAAATGGATAGCAAATGAAGGTAAGAAATATTGTCCAATCAGCTACGTACATTATGTGTTCGTAAAATCATTTAAAAGAACTCGTAAAGCTTTACGTGCGAGTCGCTGACACATGAGAATAGTTAATATAATACATATAGGAATGTAGATCTACGTATTATCTAAATATTGCACAATTTTCCACGACGAATCAAACGAACGGTATTTGAACGGAAGTGTTTCTACATAGAAAACTAAGCTCATGAAAATACAGATATGTAGCATTCAACGTACCTTATCCCGGAATATGATCAGTATTGCCCTATTGTAGTTGACAAAGTACTTAAAACGTACTAATGGAGCTAACTAAGTAAGTCTTTTCAATCTTTGTTAAATTATAAATATCAAACTGTATAAAATCTGATTCTGACCTTTACCGTTAATGTTTCCAATCAGCGAACGGTGAATTTAGCGTGTAGCATGGGCTACGACATAGCGAGATCGTAAAGTCGGTCAGGAGTCGAAGTAAATATGTATCAGGTTTCAAAACAATCGAATTGACAGAAATATGAGCAGTTAACGACGTGAAACCGTGGTCAGTGCCGTACGAAGAAATATTTGAAACGCGGTAGCAAATTTAGCTTTGCCGTTCAAGTAAGTTTTATAAAACATTAATAATTATTCAGACACACGGGAAAACTTCAAATATTCCAAATAGTAATTAACATTTGCAGATTTTCCATTTGTAAATGAAATACCGTTAATCGTTATTCTTTTATTTTGCAGAGACATCAATCGGTTCTGCAGTTTGAGGATTGAATTTTCGATCTCACTATACCGATACATCGAAAGAACCTAACTAATAAAATTCAACGTCCTTCGATATCCATTATTCCGCGTTACACGTTTAATTCAAATTACTAATGAAAATACTACTTGACCAACAGCAACAACGGATAAAATGAAATAACGATGATCTGTTATTACGCATTAATAGTTGCAATGTACTTTGCCAATATCGAAATACATTACGGTCAAGGAGAAACTTCCCTCCTTGTTGCCGTAAACACTATCTATACAATTACCTACATGAAAGCTTCAACAGTTAATAACTTGATGCCTTAATTAGTGATATGATACTTGGATTCAGCAATAGAACGCGAACGAAACGAAGAAAAACTGAAGATTTGCCAACGTTCATGGCAATCGCGAGCAAAGGTCCTTGCTGAGGGGAATCCTCCGTCGCGATTATATTGTCCTTTTTAACTTTGTCCACAGATAGTGGACTCTCTATCTCGTTGGATCACCCTTCATGCTGATATTTTTTCTCCATTGAATTTTCTTCTATTGGAATATCACTTTTGCTTTGTCGATATGAATATGTTATTCTAAATGCTGCTTCATGTTCCAATTGTAATTAACGGTATTCTTTCGTTACATTCTAATAGGTTTGCTTCGGATTCTGTCTTCTATAAATATCATTTTCTCTTTCTAATATGTTATCACAATTTGTTTACAGAATTTTTCTATGTTTTGTTATATCTGTTTTATTGTCGTCAACGCGTTGAATGCCATGTTGATGTTCAGGATTTCAATAGCACACGGTTTCACTGATTGTAGGTTTAAAATATAGTATGTTCTTGCATGCTTTATAATTGTTACAAACAATATAAATTTAAAAAAGGCAAATATGATAGGCATAACTATCAGATTAATAATACTGTTACTTCTTCTAAATCGCAAGAAATTCTTGCTAACGAATGAAAAGAGTTTGTATACGTTGTTCAATTTTTGAGAAGGAAATTATTCGTTACGTTATACTGAAAAAAGCAACCTTCGTATAGTAACGAAGCTGCATGGCAATCAACACGTTAAGTACTAATCACGTTAATTCATAATTTAAAAGTACTAATTACTCTCATTCCCCGTGTTTCATCCTCATTCATTTTTCCTTCATACTTTGTTTTAATCAAGGAATAATTACTTTTCAAACATAAAACACTAATCTGTACGAACGATGAAATTTCTCGACACTACCACTTTGAATGATCCCAAGACCATTATTGATAATGGCACAAGCATAGAACTTTGTGATGTACTCTTGTAAGATACACCTCTGGAATATTGATATAACCATTTTTGGAAGTCGTCACGGTCTCCTTTGATAATTCGTAATCACAGGACGACGGATCGTCGGTGCACTTCGTAAATCACCAAAAGAGAACGAACGTTGCTATCGCCATAATTCTCAGAGGAGCGCCAATACGTAAACGACGGTAATATTCTTGACAATTGGAAGCCTGCCTCGAAGACTGTTTCGTGATATTCGTGTCGTGATGCGAAGGTAATATGTTGGATCGTAAACGATCACGAATACCGGATAAACTATGCAGTCTCATCGACCGCATTAATACATTCCTTGTCTGAATGGATTACTATCGCCGGAAGGTTTCTGTTCGACGTTAGGTCTCCTGAATGGATTGACGTCCACCTGACCTCCTGTTAGCGGTTCTTCTCCATAAGGTCTCTGCTGAGAGTAACCCGTAGGCTGCTGACCGTAATTACTCTGTTGCTCATACACAGGTGGCTGCTCGTAACCTCCTGGGGCTTGAGCGTATCCGGCAGCATTTATATTCTGCCCGTACCCACTCTGATCGTAATTCTGCGTAGTCTGGTAACTTTGATCGTAACCTTGGTCGACATTCGTCTCCATGCGCGTTTGATTCAGGTGATTGCCCACCTCGCCTGACAGCGGTCTCTGTTCTTGTAACACATACGTTTGGTATTCTTTATCGGGTGGATCTTGCACGAGAACGTCTGCCTCATCCTGGAACGGCTTGAAGTCGTAGATATGCCTGAGATACACGAGTACAGGTGCGTACAGCAAATTCGAAAAAGCTATACCAATATTCAAAGCAGTGAAACCAATTGCTTCTACAACACCACCGGCTATTATAGGTCCTACCGCATACGCGATGCTGTACGAAATGTCAGCTATAGCGTAAATGCTACCGTAGACAGAAACGTATCTTACGTCTACCAAGTAGCCCAATGTTGGTAGTAAAGCGGTGTCGATTAGAGCTATGCCGAAGCAAATTCCGCACAATGGAATCATAAGGACGCCGTAGCTGGTACAGAAAGGTATTATAAAGCAGCACATGCCTTCCAACGCCAGGCCAAACGCAGCCATTAGCCATTGATGTTGAGGATACTGTTTGGCCATTTTAACCGTTATCACGACACCAAGTACGTGAGGGAAGAACGCAGGCAACCAAATCATTCCCATTTTCCAGTTGTCGTGAGTTATATTATCCTCCATCCATAACGAAATCGTAGGTTCTAAGAAGGCCAATGCAACGTTTGACATCATTAAAGCGCCTGCACATACTGCGATATACGGATCTATAAGCAGCCGCCAAATCGGTATCGTTTGACGTGTCGCGTTTCTCTCTTTCACTTGTTCATCCACTGGCTTCATTACTAGCAAAAGCATCACTCCGTCAGCGAGACTGATGAAAGCAAGTATGAGAAAGGGTACCTCTTTACCCGCAAATTGATAGAGCGCACCGCCAAACGGCGGTGCTACCAAACAACCGAAACTGATGAAAGCTAACGCGATACCGAGGGCTTTCGAGCGTTCTGCCTCTTCGGTGTAACGGTCCGCTATCATAGCTAAACCGCTGGTGTCCGCAAACGCGGAACCCACTCCTTGAAGACTTCTAGCGAAGAAAAGAACACCGTAACTTCTGCCGCAAGCAAACACAGCCGTTGATAGGAACATTATGCAGAGTCCTATCATCATAGGTATGTCGTAACCGATTCTGTCTATCAGAGCGCCGGAAAATGGGTTCACCATTAACTGAACAATAGCTTTAGATGCGAACAACACTCCCGTCGCTGAATCTTGGCCGTGATGCGAAGGCGGTCCCGTTGCGTTAACTTCCTCCTCGACCTCTTCGAACGCACCAATGTACTTCAAATAATCAGGTATGATTGGCACTATCACCATATACAGCATATTATCGAGCAGCAAAGCCACCGATACGATAACCAGAACTAGCTTCCGTTGAGCTTTCGGTTCCTGCAACTTTGTCCATATTATCTCCTTGAGCTCACTGAACTCAATGTTGAGTATCGGTATCGTCGTCATGGTTGTAGCTTTTGGTATCCGCCGTTAATAAAACAGGGCCGTCTTCCAGGATCTAGCAAGAGGAACTAAACGCGATCTCTTGGTGTAACTTTGAGAGTGACCGTGACGGAGAAATCGTCGCGATTGGGGCGGCGCGCATCAGGCCGGGCCGGGGGTAACCTACAACAAATCACCGAATTGGCACGGTTAGCTCCCGAAATCCTTGCACGATCAATGTATTTTTTCTTTCTTTTTTTGTTATTTCATTTTAGTTTCATCTTTCGTTTCCCTTTAGTATTTTAAACCGCTACCTCCGCGCTTTCCTCAATCTAATTCGGCAGGTAAAAATTTTCATTTCGTTTTCTTTTACCGTGGGCCAATGAGAAACCTTTCGAGAAATTTGAAAGAAAGGGGAGCCCTGACCCGGCCTGATCGGCGCTTACCAATTTATCTGAACCCAACCCGACCTTTTGCGATCGTCGACGGCACAGACAAGTTCGTCTTCGTTTGATGAAGGATTTCACTCCGTTTATCAATTCACGCACCGTGTAGTTGATTCCTCGGTTGCTTCTCGTGGGTATAGAAGTAAACATGACACCGGGTGGAGGCTCCCCCTCGATAAGGCGGCACGATCTGTACCTAGCTACCTATGTCTGGCATTGCGTATCGTGTTACGAGAGATAAAAACACGGGATCTCGCAAGCGAAACAAGGGTGAAGGTCGAGTTGTGGATGGTACGGCTATACTCTATAAATGGGGTGCGTGGTAATTATTTAATGAATTTCACGGAACAATTTCCGATGCAAGAAAGAAGCTCGATTTAATATCTCTCTGACGTTACTATTTCCCACGTATCGATACAACATTCGGTATGTACAAAGAATCAAAACCTTTTTCCCGTTTCAATCTATGAAATGTGTTTCAACTAAAAATTTGTATAAATCGTATGCTGCAGTTTTCGTAATTATTCCGGAGCCGAGTGTATTTCAAATATTAAACGCGTTTTTAATTCAAGAAACGTAATCAAACGTCGTGTCACGTTTGAAACACTAAACGATGTGTCTCTGTCAGATTAGAACGGATTAATTAATTCCGCCGAAGGATCGTTCGTAAACTGACGTCCCTTCTAACGTCGTTCGGTGCGTGTCCGCACCCTCGTTTATTAATTACGATAACTCGTTGACGTGCAGGGAAACCGTAACTTCGTGAACGATCGTAACGAGCCACCATAGACGCGAACAGCTCCACAACGATGGAAACACTGGGAACGAAAGAAAATTTGCAAACTTACCAGAGTTATTGGCAAATTTCTGCCTGAGGGAGTTAGCAAGGCGTTGGGGACCCGCCAAACTCGGGATACCGGCGAACAGATTGCTCAGTTTCGACGTGATGTCCGGTCCGACCTCGGCCCTCGAGCCGTTTACCGACTCCGTAACTTCTTGCGTCCCCGGGCCCTCCACCTTTTACTCGAATTCGTAACCGAGCCTGAAACAACAAGTACAATATCCCATGGCGCGCTGTATTTTTTCAAAAATTCCTCTAATATTTTCAAATTATTATATCTCAAACAACTCGCCGCGTTAACGTTTTCTACCGGATAGATTAACGAATAGTAAATTGTTCGAAAATTTTCTTTAACGTTCTGCATGTTGATGATGGTGATCCTATATTGGTAGCTGTAGCGACAATAGTCGGTCTTTAGCACGTTCCTCTCGTTTTATAACACAATAAGCTCTTTCTGTCTACCCACTTCTTCTTCAAAATAGACACAATTGTTTCTAATCTATCTATATTATCTTATGTACGCATTGAATCCTGAAGAATCTATATTTAGACGTTACATATCTGTCTATAACCATTACTTGCTATATCTTACATTGGAAGAAGATTGCATTGTACAAGTATGTAAGTTCCCAAGGTAATTTCCTATCCTCTACACGTTCCAATATCGTTATTTGCAACGTGCCATTTTATGCCCACGTACGATTTACTTTGATATCATTTGCACAAAACAGTTAGAATTTCACTTAATACCGCACAGTTTTATCTCCATTTAAATACCAAACAATTAAATAGAATAATTAGTAAAAAAGGCAGATTGATCGCTGCAACTTTGTATCATAGGTGTGTCGAATAACTCCCGACTGACGAAACTGTATCAATAGCAGAAAACCTACATATCCGTCAACTTTCCTCCTGAATAATTCAAATACCACTCGTTCGTTTACGAGTGCAGGCACCACCGCGTTAACTCGAGAGGTCGCTACAGCTCGGTACCTCAAAATCCGCGAGAAATGCGGAAAATCTAGCAATCGAACGTCCAAAAACGAATTACCAGAACACAATGCTAGCCGAATCGAAATTGAAATCCGCGAGTGCCGAGTAATTATCAATCGATACATCCGACATCGCCGTACAGAGTGACGTGAAGTCTCTCGGTAATCTCAACACCTACTTCCATCGGGAACGATGAAACGGTGTCCCGGAAAGGGGACAATTCTGAAATTGTCCCGCGCGAAAGCCGTAGAGAAAGGAGAAGAAAGAAACGGGGAGAACCGAGACCCAGAGGAAACCAGGGATGCGGGCAAAGAGAAAGACGTCGAAGATACTTACTGAGACCGAAGGGCTCCCGATAGCAGGGGCGTCTCGGCGTGTCTCTCCGTTGGGGTAGCTTCGGAACGTCTGCCCTAGAAGTTCTCCCCGCCACCATGATCCCCGCAGCCGGGATGGAAATTGTGACAGGGCGCAGCCGCGGTTTCCAGGTTCCAGGGATTGGCCACGGAGTCGAGGCCGTGCGTCAGCCCCCAAACCCTTCACCGTCGTACCAACTATCCGCATTCTCTGCTGGCCTCTTCTCACCCCTTACCCCCCTCCCACCCCACCCCCTGTCGGAGGGTTTCCATGCCCGTGGAAGTCATGGCCCCGGGGGAAGAGGAAGCAGACCAGGTATAACAACGACGGTCGATGCTGCGCGGTGTATTTCTGGCGGCAGGTCGATATGAGCTTCACCTGTACAACTATGGGCTGGCTGGCTGTGTCGGAGAAAAAGGAGTTCTCGGTACGTGGTGAACACGGCAACCAGTGTTCTTCGACTACCAAACTATTCCCTATTATCTTCCACCCCCATCACTATTCTTGATCCCTCTTTCTCACATGCGGTCTCTCAATGAGTATATAAATAAATATATAAAGTCTGTATACACTGATACACAATGAAAATTAACCTGTAAACCGGCTACCTGTGGCCACGAGCACGTGCATTATTTGACATTTTGTCAGCTCGAAGTCGATGACATTGCAGATTCTGTCTTTTTTGTTTTTTCTCTTTAATGAATTTTCTTGGGATATGCGGTTGGTGAGAAAATCCTTGGTACATCCCATCTCGTTAGAATTAATTTTTCGTTGCATAATTTTGACGGGGAATGTAGCAAAGAAATAATATTTAAGTTATTTTATTTAGAAATGTAACATTTTATTTGCATTCATTTATCGATAATTAAAGAGATACTTTTCATTGTCTTTTCTATTTGCTTGTAAACGAGAAACTAAGTCGTGTTTGCCTTTGGAGCCCTGCATCCAGATATTTTTCTCAATTCTTAGACACTCCACGGAAATTTTGTTCATCTCATTTTTGTTACATTATTCTCTTTCCTTAGTTTAATTGTCAACAAATGAGTGTAAATCGGTTTTCTTCGTATCGGTAGTAAATTTTAAGGTTCTAAGTAAAATAACGTAAATAGTATTTATTTGCTACCATTCTCTGCTGAAATTATACAACGCTGAATAAATTCTGATATGGTGTACAGAGACTTTTCTGACAAGGAAACGTTCCTTGGTCGACAAAACTTTGGTATATAATAGTTCTCGAAAAATATTCAAAATCGCCCTCAAATTTTAAAGGTAGTAAACATATTTAGTCTAATATCTCGAAAATTATTAGATATAGGGGAATTTTATATTTTTCATCGACAAATTTGAAAAGTGAAAAATAGAAAAAGGTTTAAAACAAATATGTTTATTACTTCCATCTTTATGGGCGATCTTCACTCCTTTAATATGGAGGTGAAAAAAATACATATCAAACATTTTTTTTTTTAATACTACCATGTATCAAGGTTTCATCGATATCAGTCATTATCACTTCAGGATGTTTCACTGTGAGTGAACCAAAGCTGTTTCCGTCGATTATCAATTTAGATTAGCTGTTAAATCGGTGAGAAAATATTGCTTAACCGTTTATATTTGTAATGTAAAGTCGAATAAGATAACGAGAAACAAAGCGACGCGACGGGTGGGTGTCTTCTAACCGCAGCCTATTTCAGACAAAACAGTTACGAGAATACAATTGGAAAAAACATGCCTACAAATAGAAAATATTTCGGATTCGATCGACTCAGCGTCCAATTGAACGACTCGATACCTTTATATAGAATACAGTTAGAATTAGAATTTTGTACAACGACACAGGTGATAGAATTCAATTGTAACGAAACGAGGAGAAGTAAGTTTTCATTTGCTGGCGCAACGTTCGTCCAAATGATTTGTTCGATAAATTCGTTCGTACAATTTTACGTCTTGATCGAAAAATATGCACAATACATGAAACTCCTTCTCTATCTCATCACACGGTCGCGCTCTCACGCTCCAGACGGTCTACTTGCCAGAACGTAAGGTTGCCCCTCAGAATATTTAATCGAGCCGAGGAACTAGTAAACTCTCCGCGAGAACAGAACTTAGTGTTACGAATCTTCTTAATCTTCTTACTGTCGATGAACGGGATCTGATTACTTGGAAATTAAAGCATTACGTATCGATAATTGAACTCACCAGCATTTATGAAATCGGTATGTGTTTTTTTTTTATGGAAGACGTGTTACTGTTGAAATCAAACGAGAATTTGAGTAGCAGTAATCATCGACTTGTAACAAACTTACATCAAACCTATCTCAAATCTTATAAATGCGACATGCAGGCCTTGAATAGAGAAGCGTTCGAGCATCTTCAATAAAGACATTTTTTTTTTTAAATATCTCGATAGCTAATCATTTTTTGACCATTGCACCTCGATACTTTTTTACTTAGAATGACGAGAGGAATCTATCTATGTAAAGAAAAGCATGCATTTCCATTTTTTTAAATAATGCAATTTTTGATTGCATATGCACTATAGCACTTCTGAAAAAAAAAAACGTGGTCCTACGGATGTAGTACTCTTTGAACCATTCATCTTTCTCCTTTGACATTTTTCTGTAACTGCACTGGTAACGGAGGTATAACCTGAAACAATTGCGTGGACCACGCTGTACGCCATTGAAAATATTTTTGGGAATATCTCGGAAATTAAGGCCGAGAGGCAGTTATATGTAGAAGCAAAGTTACTTAGGACATTAACCCCGATAACATATCTGAGGGTCATCGAAATCGGTGAGGTGTGCCTTTTTGTAAATATTAGCCCATAAGTTCATGTCGAACTTTAATTACATATTAATGGGAGAAAAAATATTTTCCAAAAATAAACTGTAAAGTTGAAATACCTTTCTGACATTAAAAGTCTCTTCTTTGAAAGGAATTATTAAATTTCACATAAATTCTATATATGTAATAAAGATAACGTAAACAATTTAGTTTACTTACCATATTCCATTTGAAAATATAGGATGAAATTTCATTTCGTTACTTTGATTAGTAAAATATAAAGTTATTTAAAAGAATTCGCGAAACTTGTCAATTCGTAATTAACAAATTAAATCCACGCCTTGAATTAATTTGTACTTAATAGTGAATCGATATAGGTTTGTATTTTCACTGGTAAAGTTTTTTTTTCAAAAGTACTTGCTCCGTAAAATTCGTCGTACTCATTATTTTCAGTTAAATTGTTTTTTAATTTCTGGTGGATAAAACCAAAGTCAAAGATATGCTTGTTAGTCGAAGCCAGCCGGTTGAATTCACGAGTAGCAAAGAGAATACAGTGAGAGAAGCTATTTTTACATCTCGGATGGCCTAGATCGATGTAGACTACGCAAATTAATTAATAAGTGTAGATATATTAGGAACGAGTTTGATTGTACCCAGGTTTGAACCAGTTCAAAATGTTCAATACATTTATCGTTCTGTACTATTACTTCCCGTACAATTAATCGTGTTGTAAATTCGTTGCTGTTGTGCAGTTTTAATAGATTCAATCGGAATTTAGCAATTAGGCAGATTTGCTTAAATGTCATGAAATAAGCAATACAATGTGAATAAAAGTTGACAATATTATTTATCGTAAATTATACCTTGAAAAATAACAATATTCTTAAAGAAGTTAAAAAACAAAACTTCAATTATCTCGAATAAAAAGAAAGTAAGCTTGCACCTTTTCAGAAAGAATCCTCGAAAATTCAGAAAAAACACTTTACAGCATAAAATTAGAGCAAAATATTGTACAGGAAACATTTTCGATATAATTTTAAGAACGCAGATCTGATGCTAATTATTAACGCAACAATTTTAATGCTTTTTGAAAGAAAATACCTCAATAAATAATACGAATACGTAACTTTGTGTATAATAAATTGTATAATTTAATTCATCGACAGCTCAATTTCACTGCGATTTTATTTCAATTATTTGTCGTACGATTAAAATTTAAAAAAAGCTGTGTTTTCTAATTTTTTACGAATGCACACTCCGCAACACCTTTAGGGAAATATCGAAATGTAAATGCGAGCGAAAATATTAATAGGTTCTTGAAAGGGCACTCAGAACATCAAACTTCGTTGCAAAAGATGTTAAAAATGAATGAGAAAGCATATCTGCATAAAAGGAATAGATGCGTTTCGCGAGGAGATTCGATCTTGTACATATATAAGTACACAGCACTCTGCTCGCATTCGTTAAAGTTTCCAGTAATAAGAGGGTGCAGTCGATATCTCTGAACCTATAGTGTTGAAATTTCCTCGAAGAGAAGGGAAGAAAATATAATACCGTACTGATCATTCTGAAAGATAAATGCGTCCGTAGTTAACGCGACTTTTAGGTGAATATGTATTTTAAATATTTTCAATTATTATAAACGATCGAGAATTATTCTCGGACAACGGCTTCGTATGGCGCATCGTTGAATTCGTCTCGACAAAAGCTAGCATATTATGAATAAAGAGATACAGGGTTCCGTTTAAAAAAATTGACTTCGATATTTACCTCACTACTGCACCTACAGAAAAATTATTTAGTTCACCTAATGTCCCTCTGTATACCGAATAACTTTTGTAACGACATTTTCTTCATAACTTCAACCCCTCGTGAGATATTCCATCGTTTCCAGTTAAACGGAACACCTTGTAGATATACGTAAATGATTAAAAGAATTTAATCGATTATTTTACAAAGCGTAGTTATGAATAATTACAATGACAGCACATTATTTGCACAAATATGTTATTTTACGTAATGTAGTTTCAAAAAATTGAGGAAACTCGTATCTCACCGTTTTCGCAGTTAAAGTGACTCTTTTTCATTTCATAAACACGCGTTTGGGTGATAAATGCATTTGGAATTCCTGTATGTTGCAGTGCATGCTTCACAATTTAACACAAACATAACTAACATTAACTTTTTCTCTTCTCTCCTTTTATTTCTTAATGAGAAATCCTATCAGGAATTCTAAACTGTACTTGCTGTAATATATGTATAGTTACAAATTTGTAACACTGTGCAAATTTGGTA